GGTTGGAAGATGGCTGTTTGTTATTTATTGTTTTTTGAAATCATCCTACAGACTCTGACATGTTAGATAAATTTGAAAATGAGGTTTTTAAAATATCCATAAGACTTGAAAAAAATCCGTGAGATTGCTCTATACGTCCGTATACCTGCAAAATGACGTAAAATCCTTATAACTTACGGACAATCCATACAAGTTGACATGTATGCATTTTTGTGAGATGAAACACAATCCCATGTGCTGTGATGTAAACCTTTAATGTTTCTAACCCACCAATCTTGGATGATTACCACCATTTCATCAAAGGTGCTAATCCCGGACGAGCCCCCAAATTATTAACCGTCAACCTTAGATGATCTGAGGGTGATTTGATTGTTGTTCTCTCAACGCATGAAACAGCAGCACATGTTGAACTCCTATTAGCTTTAAGAAGAAGGTTACAGTAATTCTCCTTCTGTTTGCCCACAAGCCTACTATATGCCGCCAACGCAACAAGCGCCCCTAGTGGCTGGAGGAGTAACAGTGCTAAACTGAACTGACACTAAAGGAATTATTGAAAAGAGAAGTAGAGGATAGAAACAAAAATAATATTGAGGTGCCTATTTTCTCTATTTGTATTTAATTAGTGTCCTTTTCACCAAACCTGTGTTATTTTGTGTAATTGGTTGTTAATTAATATAGTTCTGTTATTAAAACATTTAAAATTTGTGAATAAACTTTAAAAAGCTGCTGATTTTAATCCTCTTCATGTTTGCAGGAAAGCAGACCTGCTTCATGGACGACGAACCGTCATCTCTCCCCCGGCCTCCCCTCGGCCAATCAGAACGCTCACCACGCTGCCGCCAAGCGCCGCCTGTCGTATGATCACAACAGGAATGTCGTGGAGTGACTCTCTGGCTTCACGATGGACTTCTCCACACTTTGCACACTTCATGGTTCATTCAAGCTGAGCTGAATCTCTTTCAGACGACTTGATTGTTTTTTTTCTCCTCACGTTTGGACCTGAACCCTCACACACGTGTCAGAGCATGAAGAATCGTCTCGCCGCCATGTCGAAGGAACTTTCCTTCTTGTTAACTTTAGTTCCACATCTTTGTGCTGTAAAAACTTTATTAGCAAAAAATATTTTCTTGCAATGATTTAACTTAATGGGTAGAAATGAAAAACACAATTCTGCACATATTTAAGTTTTTTTTTTAGTTTTTGAAGTTCAGCACGCCTTCTGACTCGCTGATCTTCATCTCTGTTGTTCCTCACATTGTTTTGATCTCCCGTCTTAGTGTTTCACCTGCAAAATAAAACAACTCTTGATGTAAAACTTATAAAACACAATTTAAATATTTACAAATCCCTTCACTGTAACTCCTCCCATCTTTGTTTTCTTTGATCTGAAGCATCATCAGATAATTTAACATAATCCTACTCAGATTAGCATGCCTCCTCCATCATCAAATTAACCTCCAGCCACTAAATAAAGTGGTTGTAACCTTGTGTCATCGATTCTAAATGGGTCACGTATCGTCTGATAAATAAGAGTGGACCCAGGGTTGCCAGATAAATAAAAACGTTTTTTGAATGAATAGTAATGCCAAAACTGTCGTAAATTTTTGTTTGAGAGCCACTGATTTAAACCAGCAGTTCTCAATTTTTTAAGTTTCTGATCCACAAAATAAAAGTTGAAAAAAATTGGTGACCCCAGCTCGTAAACAAACAGCAGTAATTAGTCCTTATCTTGTTTTTTCTCTCTGTAACTCTTGAGGTGGTGGGGGGTGGTATTATGTCATTCCCTCACCAAAATATCCAGTGTTTCTTTGACTCATTCATGCATGTTGGAGCAATCCTTGAATCTCCTGTGGCAGCCATGGGGAGCTGCTTAAACACTTGCTGATACAAAGCTCCGCCTATTTACACAAATCTCTTACCTGGGAGTTCAGTCTGCAGTCGAGCACCAGCCCCACAGAGCACCCCTTCCTCTGAAGCACTGTTTGAAACATGCTGAAGTGGGAGTGTCAGAAATGGTAGGACGTTCTTAAAGAGATAGAGGCCAATTTCAAGGCATTTAGATGCAAAGTCAAATTTATTTTTGATATAAAAAGCTTTTTCATAAGAACTGAAGGTTACAAAGTGACTTGAGTGTGGTATAGAATTGAACAACGAGTCTAAATAATACCCCGCCACGCACACACACACACACACACACACGCACACACACACACAGGTTAAACATGCTTTTGGCAATTGTTTCCATTGTCAATTAGATTCCTGCAGTTTTTCTCAGGACCCCTAACTTGGACTTTCACGACCCACATGGGGTCCTGACCCCAGCTTTTGTGAACCATTAGTTTATTTTCAGAGAAAACTAAAGTGTTTCATGATTAATGTCTTTTGTCTGTTTCATTTGTAAACATACAATAAAATCATTCACTTTTTTAATCAAGAGTTTTTAATCTGGTCATTTTCTCCACAGAATCCTGGTTTTAAAAACTATTTCCGTGCCTCCACAGGGGCTCTGAGGATCAACAACACTCAGCAGTGGTTGTCAGCTATTTTGGATTTCTGCAGGTTTAGTGAGTCCAGCAGTGAACTTGTGTCGAAAAGGTTAAAGTCTGAAACTCTTCGGTTCGTTTTTGTAAGAAACAGGAAGCTTCACAGGAAACCTGCTTCCAGTCAGTTTTCATTTTGTTTTATTTTGTAGTATTTCTGTTTTTCCCTGTAAATGGAGAGCTGTTTGGACTCACCTTCAGATCATATTACAGATTTTTGATCCAAATTAAAACTTATAATTCACTCCAAAGAAGCACTAATAGAATATTATTCAGCAAAATATTATAAAAAATATTCCCTTTGTGGAGAGTTTTAGATGAACAATCATCTTTTTATGTGTTGTTATTTAGAAGCTGATCATATTTATGCAAAAATGCTGAAACAAAAACACCGGCTGGATTCATGCAGATTTCAAATATTTTTGCTCAAAGAAGCAAAGCTAAGTGTTATTTTTACACGTTTAGTTTCATTTTAAAGGAAATTATTTGCATCTTATTTTCAGTTTAAATGATGAAAGGGCTTTTATTGTGAAAGGAAGGATTCTTGAAACTTGTGGTGAAACTTGTGAAACGTCTTCCAGCTTCCTGATCTTGAACTTTCACTCCTTTTGTTTTTGTCCTCTTTCAGGTTTTTGTCCTCGGACGCGTCTCGTCCAGCTGCTGCTGAGGCTTTCTCATTTTTCTTGTACGAAACTTTGTCTCAATCGTTTATGATCAAACCGTGCTCACCGTCTGGACAAACGTTTAGTTTCTCACAAAAACAATTTATTACATCCTGATGTGTTCAAATGAAAATAACTGATGAAATAAAACGAATGTGTGTTGACCCTTCACTTATTTAGATCGAAACCTGCCTAAAAACTTAATTCAAACTAAATACATTTTGTAATTATGTAACATTTATCTCTTAGATTATTAAAAAATCTGATATTAATGTTCTGATTTAGATGTTTATGAGGAGAAAAACACAGAAACGTATTTTTTCTGAAATCAAATCCACTTTAACCTATTGAGCAAAACAGCTTTTGCCATTTTCTATATCTTTTAACTTCTGTTAACTTAAGATGTGAGTTGAACCTTGACATGTTTGGTATCAATAAAAAGCTAAGAATCTTGGCTAAAAGCTCATGACTATATAGAAACTATATTTACATTCACCAAACACAGTTCAAACGTCAAGCAAGTGAATCAGAAAGTAAACAAACTGTACAAAATGGCATCATTGCAAATCTGTAAATACATTACAACAAATCTGTAAAGGAAAATTTTTAGATTTTTTTTATGTAAGTCAAAGTAGATACCTAAATGTGTTGTAAAGTGTGTTGAAAGGTTTATTTTTACTTGAGTTTGAGTGAATATGATCCAACTAAAGTCAAATATAATTTCTCATTCTTTTATATAATATATATGGTGACAAATAAATGTCTGGATAACTTTTTAAAAGAACAAACATTCAACAACAAGTCATTTAAGGCAGGTAAGAAAAAATAAATAACTTTTGCAATGAAAAACTTCAGATTTTGTAGCATTTATTAATGGTACCATCATGGTCTGTCCTGTGCAGAATGACAAAACACTAAATTCATTCTTTACTAAAACCTCTGTAACTTTGCTCCAGTTCATTTTAGCAGCATGAATCTTTGCACAGGTGATGTTCACAAGTGGATTTATGGTTTTCAAGAGTTTTAACCTGATTCTTTATGGTTTTAAATACAGCGGGTAAAATAAGTATTGAACACGTCACCATTTTTCTCAGTAAATATATTACTAGAGGTGCTAATGACATGAAATTTTCACCAGATGTTGGTAACAACCCAAGTGATCCATACATACAAAGAAATCAAACCATAAATGTCCAGAAATGAAGTTATTTGTAATAATGTGGAATGGCACAGGGAAAAAGTATTGAACACACTTACTGAAATTTATCTAATACTTTGTACAACAGCCTTTGTTGTCAATGACAGCTTCAAGACGCCTCCTGTATGGAGAAACTAGTGGCATGCATTGCTCAGGTGTGATTTTGGCCCATTCTTCCACACAAACAGTCTTCAAATCTTGAAGGTTTCGTGGACCTCTTCTATGAACTCTGATCTTTAGTTCTTTCCATAGATTTTCTGTTGGATTCAGGTCAGGTGATTGGCTGGGCCATTCCAGCAGCTTTAGTTTCTTTCTCTGAAACCAACTGAGAGTTTCCTTGGCTTTGTGTTTGGGCTCATTGTCTTGCTGAAATGTCCAGCCACGTTTCATCTTCATCATCCTGGTAGATGGAAGCAGATTTTTATCAAGAATGTCTCTGTACATTTTTCCACTCATCCTTCCTTCAATTATTTGAAGTTTGCCAGTACCATATGCTGAAAAACAGCCCCACACCATGATGTTCCCACCTCCAAACTTCACTGTTGGTATGGTGTTTTTGGGCTGATGTGCAGTGCCATTTGATCTCCAAACATGATGTGTATTCTGGCATCCAAACAGTTCAATGTTGGTCTCATCTGACCAGACTATATTCTCCCAGTATTACACAGGCTTGTTTAAATGTTGTGCAGCAAACTTTAAAGGAGCTTCAACATGCTGTTTCTTCAGCAGTGGAGTCTTGCGTGGTGAGCGTGCATACAGGCCATGGTGGTTCAGTGCATTACTTATTGTTTTCTTTGAAACAAACGTACCTGCTAATTCCAGGTCTTTCTGAAGCTCTCCACAAGTGGTCCTTGGCTCTTGGACAACTCTTCTGATAATTCTTTTCACTCCTCTGTCAGAAATCTTGTGAGGAGCACCTGGTCGTGGTCGGTTTATGGTGAAATAATGTTCTTTCCACTTCTGAATTATGGCCCCAACAGTGCTCACTGGAACCTTCAGAAGTTTAGACATTCTTCTGTAACCGATGCCATCATTATGCTTTGCAACAATAAGGTTGTGAAGGTCTTGAGAGAGCTCTTTACTTTTACCCATCATCAGATGGTTCTTGTGTGATACCTGGCCATCATTTGGGACTGAACCAGCTGATATTAACTTGCACTGACAAGGGGCAGGCTTGCTTTCTAATTACTGAGAGAGTTCAGCTGGTGTCTTGTCTTTCCATGCCTTTTTACACCTCCCTTTCTTCATGTGTTCAATACTTTTTCCCTGTGCCATTCCACATTATTACAAATAACTTCATTTCTGGACATTTATGGTTTGATTTCTTTGTATGTATGGATCACTTGGGTTGTTACCGACATCTGGTGAAAATTTCATGTCATTAGCACCTCTAGTAATATATTTACTGAGAAAAATGGTGACGTGTTCAATACTTATTTTACCCGCTGTAGGTTGTAAACTGTCTAATGAAAAAATTATTCAGATGGAAAGGAAAAAAATGTAAAAAAAAATTATGTTCCATTCTCAATATGTCTAAAACCACAGCAGCTGTTTTAATACTGACTCTCTGGTGAAATCTTCCAAGTGTTGCTTTATTTTGATACCAAGATTATTTAAGTAGAGTTTGTCAATGCTGAGATACACTCAGTTACATTTTGGCATGATATTTTGAGCAAAAACATCAAGAAAACCCCTTGGGACTTAAGAGTTATATAAATGTTAAAAAAAAAACTGCTTCTTTCTAGATTCCTTCTGTTTACAAATGTTAACATCAGACTGAACTGAAGTTACAACACTCTCCTCCAGGACTTTCTGGTAAGGACTAGGGCTGAAGTTATTTATTTATTTACTTACTTACTTACTTACTTACTTACTTACTTATTTTATAACCGGTCCTTCAGGTCTTGAAGCAGCCCAGCAGCCCCAGATCATCACACTACCACCCTCGTATCAGACTCTGGTCTCATCAGTCCTCAGGATATTTAACTCAGCTTCCCACAAACAGTTAATTGTTGGTTTAACGAGGGGAATCAGTTACTTTTTCACTTGTTTTTTCTGCAATGAATCATGACTTGAAAAAATGCTTTTGGTATTTATTCAGGTTATCTTCGTCTCATTTAGGTGTGGGAAAAAAAGCTAACAAAAAAAATTTCACAGCACTGTAAACACTGACAGATATATACATATTTTTGCACATTTGCCAACATGTAGAACTTTCACGTCCAGCGAGAACATTTTTCTCTCTCAAATCAAGTTTATGTCAGAAGCTCTTTTAAAAGCTTCACTGACCTGAGTTCTGTAAATATAAAAATAGAACAAAAGGCATTAAGGACAAAAACGTTGCAAATAAAATGAAACAATAACAATAAAGTTCTGGCATTTCTTTAAGGAATGCAAATCACCCATGATCACCAAAGTCAGTTTTACATTAATGATTTTGAGCTGAGAAATGAGAAGTATTTGATTAATTAAACCTAAAAATATAATGTTATCTGTTAGCTCTCAGACTATGTGTTAGGAAACAATCTCAGCTGCTACCACACCAAATTTTAACATCACATCTTCAAAACTGACCAAGTTCTAATAATTTTTATGTCGCATGGATTAGCTGTGGCAGCCATCTTGACCAGGGCAGACTGCAAAAGTCAATCAGCTGTAGGCACACATCCAGTAATTACTTCCTGAGAGTTGCGTTAAAATCCATTTACTGGTTCATGAGATATTTTGCTAACAGACAGACAAACATAAATATTATCAACTTCCCCTCACTGGCTGCAGACGATAGCAAATGGAAAATGAGACAAACAAACTGAAAACAGGACTGATAAGATGAGGCTAAAAGAGAGATAAAAATAAATTGTTGTTTTGACTTGAGTCTGGTCACAAGCTCACATGTTTAACTCGCAGGCGAACCACTATCACAGCAGCCGAAGGCAAATAAGCTAAAGTACACTCAGACGTTTTTAACTGGGTCATTTTCAAAACATGTCAGGATGTTTGTTTGTGTTGAAAAGTCCAGCAAATGTGTGCCGGCAGAGACGCTCCTAAACGTCTCCAGTTCGACTGATGTGACTGAAACAGATTATTTTATGCTTTATTTAAAAAGTTAAAGTTCCTCAAACATCTGAGTGCTGCCATCAATACAGGTCTTTGTGCTCCAGACAGAGTTTAAAACTTTTGTTTGCTGAGTTCGAGCCCACTGTGCACTGATAACACAACTTCTCACTGACCGACCTGACCTCATGGTTCACGCTGCATCATTCAGCTGCCATTAAAAAAAAAAACATCAAAACAGCCGAACAGTTTCCTCCAGGAGAAACTAACACAGCGTGGTCAGTACAGTACGTTTGTTGTTCCCATAGAAACCTCTGGGTGTAAAAACAAAATCTGAGTTACAAATCAGAGAATGGGGGCTCATCTGAGCTAGCTTTAGTTAGCTTTTAGCCACTTTGAGATTCTGGCTACTGTTTTACTACTTTTAACTATCCCTTTGCTACATTTAGTTTACATTTAGTTACACTTACAGCTCCCAGCTACTGTTTTGCTACTTTTAACAATTCCTTTACTTTATTTTTCTTTCATGCAGCCTTTAGCCACTTTGAGCTTCTAGCTATTATTTTGCTACTTTTAACTAAACTTTTGCTACATTTTTTCCCTTTTAGCTAGTCTTTAGTCATTTTGAGCTTCCAGCTATCATTGTACCTGTAACTAACCTTTTGCTACATTTAGCCTTTAACTAGCCTTTAGCCACTTGGAGCTTCTAGCTATCCTTTTGCTACTTTTAACTAACCATTTGCTACATTTAGCTTTTAGCTATTCTTTAGTCACTTTGATCTTCTAGCTACTATTTTGCTACTTTTACTTAACCTTTTTATTCGCTTGCTATATTTTGTTACTTCCTTTAGCTTTTAGATCATTTTTATTTTTGCTTTTAACTACCATTTTGCTAATTCACATAATTGTTACTGTTAGCTTTTAGATAGCCTTACCTGTTAGTTAGCATTTTGCATCACATCTTTTAGTTTTTAGCTCACCCTTTTGCTATTTTTAGCTTTTACTAAAGGCTTTACCACATGTTTTGGCACATATTTTTCATCTTTTATCTAAGGTTTGTCAGTTTAGCTTCTGTAGTGTTCTGCTTATTTAGCTATTTTTTGCTTTTAGCAAAGGCTTGGTCACTTTTTAGCTAGTGTTTGGCTTTTTTCTAGCTTTTAACTAGGTATTGCTCATTAAAGCTTCTAGTGCTTTGCTTCTTTAGTTAGTCTTCAGCTTCTTTCACTATTTTTAGCTTTTAGCAAAAATTTTGCTACTGTTTTGGTACGTTTAGCTAGCTTCTGTTAGCCTTTCCAATTGACTTTCAGCTGACAGCATTTAAACTGAATTATCAAAAAACAGAGATTTTTTTTCTGTTTTCATCTTGAGTTTTTGTTTACTAACAAGCTTAAATATTCGACACATGATGCTGATGACATAAACGACATGATTGATCCGTGGTTTGTATGGATCAACATGACCAACACCTACATCAATGAAGAGTTCAGCTCCGGAATCCCTCTGGATTTAAAAACCATCCGGATGACTAAAAAATAACACAAAACTGCTAAAAGCTGAAGTAGAAAATTCATCTAAAAGTGCTAGCTAAAGGTAGAAAAATACTAGCTGAAAGTAGAGCAAAAGAATAGCTAAAAGTTATAAAATGCTGGATGAAAGAAGAAGAAAAAATGTCTTGCCAAAAACTAGTTTAAACAAAATGGAAGCTAAAATGAGCAAACAGCTAAAGCAAAATAAGCTAAAAGAAACAAAAACGTAAGTAAAATCTAAAAATAAAAACAGGCTAAATGTCATAAAAAGTCAACTAAAAGTAGCTAAAGCTATGCTAGCTAGAAGCTAAAGGTAAAAGGATAACTAGATTTTAAAAGTAATAAAGAAGTAGCTAAAGGCATTAGAAGAACAGCTAAAAGGTTAAAGTGTCAAAAACATGCTAAATGCTAAAAGTTGCAAAACCGTAAAGGCTGAAAGTAACAGAACAGAAACTAAAAGGTAAAAGTATCAGAATGATAGTTAAAAAGAAACAACAGGCCAGCTAAAGAAGTAGCATAAAACTGGAGCTTAAATTAAAGAAAATTTGGCTAAAAGTGGCAGAGCAATAGCTAAAAGTTCCATATTGTAACAGTTGCTAAATTTAAGAAAGGTTTAGCCAGGGTTGTAAAGTAACTAAGTACTTCTTTATTGTACTTAAGTTCAATTTTTGGGTATCTGTACTTTACTTGAGTAATTCTTTGTCAGCCTACTTTTTACTTTTACTCCTTACATTTTTTAAAAAGACAAGCAGAAAGTCATTACTTTTATTTCATTTTTGCTTATTTTCATTCCAGCTTGTTATTATAAAAAATAAAAACT